AATTAAATCTATTTTTAAAAGGATTAGGTTATTAAAATAATCTCCAACTATAAGTCGTAATAATCTCCAACGATTATTATAATAATCTCCAACGATTATTATAATAATCTCCAACGATAAGTCGCTATCTAAAGTATCGTGGGAAATATAGTAGCGCAGCTAGTATGCATGCTTTCATTTTGATCGTCTTCCCTATTACTATTACTAGTAACGTTATCCCTAGTATTTTTCCGAGGCCTTGCTTGGTACAGCAGAGACGTGTCGTCTACATATCTTCACATGTTTGCACGTTCCATTCAGGCCATACATGGCATACAGCTTGACTCCCTCTCCATTCCAAGACCTTTTACATACATCAAGACCCTGATCTTTCTGGAATTGCAATTGGGCATCTTGGCTATGTGAAAACTTAACAAGGGCATCAATCATCTGGTTTGACTCGACATGCTTGCGCGTTCGTCTACAACGTTGCCAGCAACGCCGTGCGATCATCGATCCTCCTGCCGCCACGTCCATCCCCCTTCCGTGGACTAGCCGACTCCTCTTGCGATACGTCTGACGCCCACACTTGAAACACAACGCCGCCGCAGATCATGATCGCCGACGCAATGAGGAACACGAGGTCCCAATTCCCAGTCGCGGCGAGAATTTGGCCAGTCAGGATGTTGCCAAAGATACCAGGGATCGTTCCAACAGTGTTGCTCACAGCCATCAACTATATAGACACTGTCGTTTCTGCACATATTCATCACGACGATATAACTATTCGAAATTGGAGAGTTTGGGTAATTGCCCAATCGAATACCAAATCGGCAGACCATCGATGAACCAATCAAAAACCCACAACACAAATCAAGTAGCCAATCAAATATTAGGGTGCACTGGACCATATTTACATACCAAAAGTCAGACAATCGATCATCATTCTTATTGGCGAATCAGCCAAAGTTTGGGTAAAAGGACGAAGATGCCAGATTATTATTACGTACATGTCCTGCATGACGGGGCGCGACGTCCAGCATGTTGATCCAGTAGCCGGCAGTGGCGCCACGGGAGAGGAACAATGTCACAGAAAGCAGCGCCACGGCCGACACGCTGGACGACACGAACCGAAGCATGTACAATGACACGCCAGACCCGATCAGCCCCAGCCCGTTCATGAGCTTCCGGACGGTGACGACGCGCACCCCGCGCCCAATCAAGTCGTCGGAAAGAAACCCCCATACCAACACCCCGACGTACCCGCAAAAGTAGGGCAGCGCCGCCGCCACCCCCGACGTCGCGACTTCCAAATGCAGTTGGAGGCGCAAATACTGCGGACTCCACCTCAATAGCACATACCTAACCTACAGCCGATAAAATTGGAGAGTTTCGAATCATCTCGACAGATTGGGCGAGTTTTGTCAATTTGATTGACAGAATTCGCCATTTTTTGACAAGTTTCTAAGTTTTGACAATTATCGAGACAGAAGATTGTTTTACAATTTTTCACACAAGTATTTCTTTCATTGGCATTTTATAAACACCGTCATGCAAATCAACATGGCAGTTCAACGATATAGAAAGGCTAAGTTACATGCAGATCTATAACAGCACGAAGTATGATGACCAACGGACGTCGTACATGTCTATCATGATATTGTCCTTTGGTTGACTTTTAGGCTGATTCTTTGCCAAATCTATCGATATCTTCTTTGTACTGACTTTTAGACATAAAACTGGTCCAGTATCACACTAATTTCAATCACACACTAATTCGTGGTTGATTTGGTCGAAGAGTGGATAATTTGATTGGCTACTTGATCTGGGGTTTGATTGGTCGATATTTCGATTTGGTGGTGCTGGTCACATTCGATTGACCACCCAAACACTCGAATTTCGAATAATTGAATGACCAATATATATATATATATATACGGGTATATCGGAGGACACAAATGAATATGGCGATGTGAAACCAATGCAGGTGTACACCTACATATGTAGCTAGCCAGGGAAAGAAATAGGCAGCAAACACTTTTGTGGTTTACATACCAGCCGTAGTTGTAGGCGAAATGTGTGACGTAGATGGCAAGCACGGGCGGCGCGTAGAAATGCATGGTCGAGTCATCGTCGTCGGGGGCGCCTCGCTGGGAAAGCACGAGCGCCTTCTCGCCGCTTGACACATACTTGTCGGCGTCAGGGGCGTCCGACCCACGGAAGGCAAAGAGGACGATCCACGCAGATGACAACACGCCGAATGTGATGAAGATGGCAGGGTACCCGTATTGAGTCATCAACCACGGCGAGAGCAACATGGCCACGACCGTGCCAAGGTCCATGCCGCTACTGACGTTTGCCGTGAGTCGACTGCGCTCAGACAACGGATACCACGCCAATGCGATGCTGTGCATGCATGGAAAGATGATGCCTTCCCCAAGACCCATGCCGACGCGCGCAATCCATAGCAACGTCGAGTTTTCAGCGAACGGAACCGTGAGCACGTCAAAGAACGTCCACGTGATAACGCCCACCAAGAGAACGATCTTCGGGCCGTACCATGCTGCCACATGCGCACCGAGGATCTGCGTAGCAATATACCCGTAGTAGAATGCCGACAGAATGTGACCTTGTACGGCATGGTCGGGCTGGAAGGACGGAATCGCCACCCCAATGTTCGTACCTAGGATACTGTCATGCAAGGAAGTGCGAAGAAGACGTACGGTCGGCATAACATAGGATCGTCCCCACCGCGCACAGCGCCGAGATCTCGTATCGACGGTAGCCGCCTCCGACGATGGAATGTGCCGCCATCAACTTTGAAATGCAAAGAAACCCTCAGCAGGTTGTACGGATACAGTACTATGAGATAAGATATCCTTGTACAACGATATCCGGATCACATGACGTGGCGACTGGAGGGGCGAGCTAAACCAATGCGGCCGAGATATGTACCCACGGATGGAATGTACCGAGTCGTCGGCAAGGATGCATTGGTGTAGCGTGCTTCGTTAATGAGGTAGAATCGCGGAACTGCCGCTGTGCCTGCCTTAGCAAGCCCTGATGAATGCCCAGAGAGCTTATCAAGCATTGCGGAACGAGGAGGTTCCAGCATCGCCAAACAACGTGGCCACACCGTACAGTTCGCTGCACTACGTATACACTGTAGCTGCGCTGAATTCGCAATCGATCACCCTCTGTACTTCCACGCGTACGATCCTATTGACCGAATCACCACATGTGAATATCGCGATGATGCGACAGACAGGTAGCCTACGGTCACATGGTGAGGGAAGGTTGCATATGAGGAGATGATGCACGGTGTGTGCGCCACGAAGAAGCGATCGTCGAGCGGGTCCCCGTCGCCTACATCCGAGCAGGTCCATGAATGACTGGTTTACCTTCGTCGGGCTTCCATGGAAAATTGTGTGGTCGGGATGACACTACGTCGACGTCCTCGCGATTTGATTGGGTGCTGGCATATGTCTCGACATTTGATTGGCTAGTTTTAGGCTCGTTCCCTAGCCGCACTTTTTAAGCCAATCAAATGTAGGGTATTTATGAACTGGGCGTTTTTGATTGGCTGACGCATTGACTTTTGATGGTGTGAATCGCTTCTTTTATATATACTCACTCCTGCATTGAAGCAGTTGGTCATTCCTCATTTTCCAGAGTCGAACGCAGTCCACCCAGGTAAATGCATGCTCAGGACACGTACGGGTAGAAGTAGACACGTTGAGACGCAACCAGCGAGGGGTGCCTCCAGCGTATGAACGACCCCATGTTCATCACGCTGGTCGCTGAGATTATACCCTTAATCACCTGATCCGGGTAAAACCGGCGGAGGGACTGCTGTTGTTCATGTTTTGCATCTTTCTACTTCTCTAGCACTTTACCATGCACTCCATCCGTTCTGCCATCACCAAGCGCGCCCTCTCCACCGTGGGCCCCCATGCTCCTCGCATCAAGCGCTCGGGTAGCGCCAACTTGCCTGACCCGGCATGGCGCGCTGCCAATGCGGCCCGTACAACGCCGTTCGACGGATACACTTTCGCGTATGTAGACTCTTCTGGCAGCATAATTCTTATCGTCGGTGGTGCTGATTATCGCCTCGTGTAGACCCGTGAAGGAAGCCGAAGTATCCCGCGAAATGACTACTCGTTACATGAAGGACATGTACGACTTTGCCGACTCGGATGTGATCATCGCCGGTGCCGGTTCCGCTGGCTTGTGCGCTGCGTACGAACTGTCCAAGCACCCGAACATCCGCGTGGCCATTATCGAACAAAGCGTCGCCCCTGGCGGTGGCGCGTGGTTGGGCGGTCAATTGTTTTCGTCCATGATTGTGCGCAAGCCGGCGCACCACTTTTTGGACGAATTGGAGATCCCGTACGACACCAAGGGCGACCACGTTGTGATCAAGCACGCCGCTTTGTTCACGTCCACGATCATGAGCAAGGTGCTCAAGGCCGACAACATCAAGCTCTTCAACGCCACGGCCATCGAAGACTTGATCATTAAGAAGGGCAAGGTCGGCGGCGTCGTGACCAACTGGACGTTGGTGACCCTCAACCATGGCACCCAATCGTGCATGGACCCGAACGTGATGGAAGGCAAGGTGCTCATCTCGGCGTGCGGCCATGACGGCCCCATGGGTGCGTCCGGCGTCAAGCGCCTACAGAACATCGGCATGGTCGACCACATCCCCGGCATGGGCTGCTTGGACATGGGCGCCGCCGAAGACGCGATCGTCAAGGGCACCCAAGAAATCGTGCCTGGCATGATTGTGTGCGGCATGGAAGTGGCCGAATTGGAAGGCGCGCCGCGCATGGGCCCTACGTTCGGCGGCATGATGATCTCGGGCCAGAAGGCCGCCCATTTGGCGTTGGAATCCCTCGGCATCAAGAGCCACCTCGACCCCAACATGTCGTTCGACATGAACCCGCTGCGCAAGGCCGCGTAAATGGCCGACCTCTGTAGTAGTGAGAATAATGTACACTTGTTTTGATCATCCAGATTACGTCAATGAGTTGGCTGGATGAAGGACATGTACAGGACGTGGTGGAAACGCCACTAACGTTAACTTGAAAGTTGTGGGTATAATAAAGTCTATTTATAATTAGTATTACGTAGTATAGTTTGCTTGAAGTACACTTGGCTTGCGTTTGACGTCGCCGCTACTATAGGGTTAACATTAACGTTACTACTGTACAAGTGATTGTACAAATATTTGTTTTCTAACGTTAAAACACCAATATATAGCGATATATATATATATACATACAGTACATATATTAATACTTCGAAGTATGTCTTTATTGTGAAAGAAAAAGCTCTCGTCCATTAGGGTTAAGACTGTACGTCTATAATTCTATTTATAATACAAATATATATAATTAAATAAAAATTATATACTGGTATAACGTGAAGAATACTATTAATATCATCCATGGCGTGGTCGTGGTCCACATGGTATCTCAGGAATAATCCAAACACGGAACGAACATCGCCCAGTGAAGAACATTCCGAGCAACGTCTAGTACCTGTACCTCATGGATCATCTCTATTTTAATAGCTACTGTATGGTCAACTAAAAAATCACAATCTCGACCGACTGGTAGAGGGGATGAACGAATGGAGAGTGAGTTTGGTGGAGCGTGATGACGTTATCTCTGTCGTCCAGCCAACAACTGCATCCTCGATGGTTGTGTACTACTATAGTAGTACTAACTAGTCCATTTTGGTGTCATTACACGTGCAAGAGCATGCGGCGCGGGTCGCTGATCAGGTCCGCCACCGTCTTGAGGAACGTCACGCCCTCCCGCCCGTCGATCAGTCGGTGGTCGTACGACAAGGACAGGTACATCATCGGGCGCGACACGACCTTCCCATCATGGAACACGGGGCGGTTCTGGACGCCGTGGAGACTCAAGATGGCCGCGTGCGGCGACAGCAGCATGTTGGTGCTCACCAACGAACCCTATCTCATGATAAATAGATATATATATATATATCAGGTTGAAGTACGGATGAACGCACCTGGACGTGGCCATTGGTGATGGCAAACGTGCCGCCGGCGAGATCTTCAATCGCCAGCGTACCATCTTGCGCCTACATATCACCCCGTTGAGATGTCACCACCCGATGAGATCTCGTCCATGGGGAATATAATATTGAACAAGATGGGAATGATGATATATTGAAAAAGTCTGGACGAAATAGGATGGACATACCTGCGCCCCCAACGTCGCCAACGAACGCTCAATGTCCACAAGGGAGATGGATTCACAATTGCGTACCACGGGCGACACCAAACTACGACCAGTGATAAGATATGCCAAACAGAAGCAAAATAGTACAGTAATGTGACAAAGACAGTGCCAATTTCGAGATGATACTCGTATATATATATCACATCTTTGAACCAGCACTTGAACGTGATGAAATATATGTGATCATGTACGACGACGTACCCCTTGTCGGTGGCGACAACCACGTTGATGTCGGCGTAGTCGTGGTACACAATGTCTTTATTGTCCATGTCGATGGCTACACAGGTACGTGTCATTCTTCATAGACAAAATGTGCGACACCGTACTGGCATTCACGGCAGGCACGACCTTCAACGCCAACGCACTGGCCTTGACGAACGCAGAGAGGAACCCGAGCTTGACCTTGTGGGTCTTTTCGAACGTCGCGCCCAAGTCCTTTTGCATCGCCAACAACGCACTCACGTCACACTACATCATCAACATCAGCACACTATCGTCCAACGACCAGGTCCATAGATTCGAGTTCTTTGTGGCTTAGCCAGCCTACTAGGGCTATAGCCATCACGGCAAGCTCGCTATCCAAGCTAGAGCTATAGCCATCATGGAATCACAGCTAGCCAAGCCAGGGCTGTAGCCATCGTGGAAACCTAGGTAGCCTAGCTACGGCTACGTACTTCTTGGAAAGTGGACAGAAGCGCGGCGGTGTTTTGGGTATCTTTGAGCCGCTGGTTGGCGCGGACTTGCAAATGACTCAACTTGACCTGCATATTCCGAAGCGACATATTAGTACCATGGTTGGTGGTCATGCCCAAGTCATGGACGACGTACGCGGGTTTCGTTGCGGCTGAATTTGCCTGGGGCGGCGGTCGGAGTCGCAGGTACGGCAGCTTTGGGGGCGGCAGCAGGAGGCGCAGCAACAGCCTTGGGCTGCTCGACTGCTTTGGTAATCACAGGGGTGGCCGCGGCGGGCGCAGCAGGCTTCGCGACCACAGCAGGTGCTGGAATGGTATGTTTAGCAGTCAAGACAAGCAGCATGCATACCAGGAGCGGTCGTGTCGAGCGTATAGAGCGGGGCACCCACGACGACGGTGTCCTCGAGTTGCGCCAAAAAGCTCTTGATCACTCCGCCTTGAGGCGCATTCACGTCTACGCTCACCTACACGCATTCTGTCACGTTGGAACGTGTGTGACCATGTAGATGCAGATACCTTGTCCGTTTCCAAGACAACGACAGGTTCGTCGATGTGGACGTAGTCGCCAATGTCTACAGGTCGCATGATGAGTACACGTTTGACAGAGGATAGTGCACGTACTCTTCGTGATCGACACGACCGTGCCTTCCGAGATCGAGTCGCCCATCGACGGCACTTTCACGACGAGGTGGTCCGCGGACGAGAACATGCGAATGGGCATCCCATGTCGGCTAAAGTGATGCTTGGCCAGGGTCGCCTTGCGCACCGCCGTGCGGAGGAGTGTGAGATGGCTCATGCTCTTGAACGATTTAGAGCACTTCACAGTCATTCATCACAGCGGGTGAAATCCGGATACAAGCAGATGGCACAAGATATCCGGAAGGCTCTTTATCCGGAGACATGACCGGATAACAGACCAACCTTAATAAAACGTTCGACGGATAGGGAGTTTTGCGTTTTGCATGCACCATGGCGATGACGACGGCGGCGGCAACGATAGAGGACTACTCGCTTATGTGGGCGCCTTCAAGCGTCGACCAGCTGCGTGAGAACCTCATGCGCCTCGAGCAGAGATGGAAGTCCATGCGCCAACGACAGTCGAAGAACCGCCCGGTCAGTGTCTCGCCAGCGATGCGACCTCCGTCGCCACTGTACCGATCATACTCGGAGGTACATGTCGACTCGAATGCGTATGCCACGCCTCCCTCCAAGAAGTCCCTCGTCATGCGAACATCATCTCCGGATCTCATCGCTCCATCATCGGCGTCGGATGATCACCCTTCTTCCTCGTACTCAACACCATACAAGTCCTGGCGGAGCATTGATCCGTACGACTCGCCTGTGAGCGTGTCCAGCTCGAGCTCCCGCCCTATCGCCGGCTCGTCTCGTCTCCCCATGGCGCCCGTCCGTCGTGTGGCCGCGTTGACCCGGGAAAACGTATCGCGACTTCCGCAATACCCTTTGCATCACGACATGGATCGTCACGGCGGCGGCGACGGCGGGTCCGTCTGCAGTTCCATTTCTGGACGAAGTCGCATGTCCGTCAAGACCGACGGCGGCGCCGTGTTCTCCCGCCTCTACCAGCCGAACCACCTCCAAGCCCGGGACTTGCGCATGTCGATGCACAAGGAGCGCCAGCAGAATGCCACGTGTCCGTTCATGCCGCGGACCAATGTATCCCGGAACCGGACGCCGTCGGTGGCGTCTCGCGACTCGTTCTGCAGCGCCAGCAGCTGTACCAGCACCCAGACGGACATCACACAGGGCCTGTCGGCGTCGAGTCGGCTGTACGACCCCGATTACATCCGCAAACGCCATGCCAAGCTGGAAAAATTGCGACAGGAGCGGGAGCTCCGAGAGTGCACGTTTGCTCCGGCCGTCAACAAGAATGTCAATGAGAAGCTGCTCAACCAGCGCGACATCGCGGCAGCGGCCACAAGGACGTCGACTCCTCGCAACAATAGTAGTACTAAAAGTCGCTTGAAATGATCATCCACATATATTCTACAACGGTGGCTAGCTACCATGAAAAGGATTTTGGATATGTACATATGCATATATGTAAACGACCGATCACAAACTGTATATTCGTGCTGGAGAGGTTGCAATGTGAACTATAAAGGTAAGTGATGGGACATAATCTATGGACAACAATCAATCAATGTCGCAGCGATAAGAGGCTTCACGTTACTATAAAATGCTAAACAATCGTCTATCCTTTCCAATACCTTTAAAAGTACAATCATGATAGCTACGCCGAACTATGACCTGCTGTTAGCTTACATTCCCCTAAAGAGATCTTGGCCTAACGACGTTCGAACGTGGACGTTGGTGTGACCTCCACGCAACAACACAACTAAAGTGTACACAATCAACGCGACTCAATTCAACATCGTACGTCACGGATGGTCGTGGCATCGTGGCACGGAGAAAAGAGTCGCGTTGGAGTTGGTACCAGAGGTTCAAGGCAGTCATCACGACCATCTTGAGTTGTCCGTGACGTCGCTGTCGACAGAGGATGACCTTCGGGGGCTGCTGGTGTTGGAAGACTCACTACCCCACCACCTCTGGCCATCGCTGACGTCGCTGCCGACGGAGGATGACCTTCGGGGGCTACTGGTCTTCGAAGACGCACTGCCCCATCCCCGCTGGTCATCGCTGACGTCCCTTCCGACAGACGAAGATCGTCGGGGGCTGCTGGTGTTGGAAGACTCACTACCCCACCCCCTCTGGCCATCGCTGCTGACGTCGCTGCCGACGGAGGATGACCTTCGCGGGCTGCTGGTGTTCGAAGACACACTACCCCACCCCCTTTGATCTTCCGAGCTGCCGACGGTTTCAACGCTGGCAACGTCGCTGCAGACTGACGACGATCGTCGGGGACTGCTGATGTTGGACGAAATGCTGCCACATCCCCGCTGATCTTCGTAGCTGCCGATGGTGTCAAGGCAGGGGATCTTTTCGCGAGGCGTTAGCACGAGGGCGTCGCTCCCCTCCCCGTCCCGAGCATCCCACTTTGTTATGCTGTCCATGGGGGCCATGCCATTGCGCCACGTGTTAGGGACGTCAAGCCACGGCACTGGGACATTATCTGTGGGGGTTGCCGCCATGTGATACATGTCAGCAGCATGTCCATCCCCAGGGGGCAACGAAGTGGTTTGATTTCGACGCCACTTGGCAATGCCGCACCCCATCAGCCCCACACCACACACCACTACCCCCACAACCACCCACGACCAAATGTGCTTGGTACGAGCTTTTGTTGGGGATGGGATCACCGTGGAATGCAAATACATTGGACTTTTCGTTGTGTGGATCTCTTCAGTTGTTCGAAGAGATGGCGTCGATGGAGGTGGCGATGTGACTCCAACACTCAAGGTCGCTCGTGGTGAGGTTGACTGCAACGGCGACGTCGTTGGTCCTTTGGTGGTGGGGGGGACAGGTCTCGTCGTTTGGGATGGCATTGAAGTGGTCGACATCGGCAAAGGTGGTCGAGTCGTCGCTGCGGCCATCGTGGGCGTCGCGCGTGGGGCTGCTGGCGTCTTCACCGACACACAGCCCATGACAAGAGGGGTCGTGTTCGGGAGGGCCTGGCACGTCGAGCCGAACGCAAGACGTGGCTGGGGACCAGGACAAGCGCCCACGCCGGCGAGTGCGGCGTCCTTTCTGACGCAGCTGGGCCCAGGGGGCGCTGTGAACACCCCTGGAACGCCCAGGACGCTAACGTTTGTTGGGGTCACGATGGCGTTCACGTTGGTGCCCGCAGCAGCGGCCATGAACGAGGCCATCACGTAGACGAGGATCGCGATGAGAAGGAAGGCGGCCATGATGTAGGAGCAGCGAGTTCTCTGTTTGAAAATGGAGAAAGTTGGCCAGGCGTGACATTTTACAGTATTGGCTAACAGTGCAACGTAAAGTGCGTTGACGACTTGGAGTTTGTATGTGCAGGTAAGCTCATGTACTGTATATACCAGCAATGAATGCAGCTCGATGTAAAGCGACGGGGAACTGGGACGAGCTCTCGTGTCCATGTGATGTGCGTTGGAGACTTGTTGGTGGGCGGCTAGTGTGTTGTGTTTGGGCACAATGGGTTCTCGTTTTGCGCATAACGTTATGGACATGAACCACAGCTGTGTCAGTGTCTGTCGTACATCATGTTGACCGTTTCACAATCCAGCCAATTGAATCACTGCAGATATTAGTAACCATGCTGCTTCAAGAATCCATGTACGAACTTGATGTTCATGATCTACGCACATGTGCCTGCCATTGAACCCCAAACTAATTCAAGCTACGAATCCACTCGACTGAACATGAAGAAACACATGAATCAAAAGCCCCTTAATCCATGCTGCAGCGCATTGACTAAGGACGACCATCGTCAATTCACGCAGTACAGTGTATACTTCTCGCAAGAATGACCAATGGTTGACATGGCGGTGCTTTTTGATATTTTAGGACGGAACGAAAGAGTATGACAATATCACCACGTTGGAGAGGGTGGGAGAAATTGTGGCAATTCTGTCGACTCTTCTAGAAGGCATGAAGCGTGGGCGCCAGGAGGCATGCAATTGAACCCTTGTCTGATGAGATTACATAGTCCTAGTCTTACTAAACGACACTTGTATTGACTTCCTTGCCGTCGGTTTCGGTGTGGAGATGACGGCGGTGTTCCGTAGAATTGCGAACAAGGTGGTGGTGGGCAGCTAGTACGAAGACGATTCCTAGTGCAAACCCAGCACCATGCACACATGTCCGGAAGAACGATATTGCCATGGACGGAGGTTTCTCGACGCGAAGGACGAGCGAGTTGGACGACTCTACAACGTCGTCTCCTACATCTTTGACGATGCCATCGCCAGCATTACAGCAGTCTTGCTCGTTGGCATTGGCTCCATCATCCTCCAACGATGCGTAGCGCTGTTCTAACTCAAACGCCGACGGCACGGGCAAGAACGTTGCTAGAAACGTGCGCACTGTGTCAGCCACAGCCATGTCTGTAAACTCGTCGTTGAGGGCGAGGAGCTTGGCTCCATGCCGTCGGTTTAAGATGGCTGCAAATATCTTCTTGGTGTACTCTTGGTTGGTGTCTGTGAGCAATAGCAACTGAAACTCGGGAGTAGGGGGCGGGTTCTCGACAGGAATGCCAAGCTCTGTCTTGCCCAATGCAAGCACGTACGCGTGATGGAGGAGGGGAACGTTCATGTCATGAGGCCCACGGAATCGGTTAGGAAGGGTGGCGCGGAGTTGTTGAGTAAAGAGCTGGTGGACGCGGACCAACGCGCGACGACTGTAGACAAAGGGAGCGTGTTTCAGAAAGTGGCGAGTGGGAGTGTACCCCAACGTAGCGTCGATAGCGTCCCGAGTGGTCAAGACTGACTGCATCCAATTGCCACGGGAAGGGTCGGGGGCTGTCGGACGACCAATAATGGACGGCTCGTGCAGAAGCTTGATGCCACCATCGCATGTAAACAAGTCGTGGGGACGGACATGCGCCGTGAAGATATAGTCGTCGTTCATGTGCATGAAGAGGTCGGAGAGACCTGGAATGCGATACAGGAACTGCTCAATGACATTGGTGTTGAAAGTGGGAAGATAACTTATTGCCGACGATGGGAACAACGAGTCTTGATGGATCACGTGAATGCGAGGATGGCTGTGGTTGAGCCAGTGTGGAGGAGCGTGGCTTGGCGCGACGATGTACACCGTGCCTTCGTGCCATGGAAGGAACTGACGCAGCGACCTGATCGAATACATCAACTCGCCACTGTCGCGGTCGCGGGACCCTCCGACTTCGCCGTCGCCGCCATACTTGCGTCGACACTCACGATAACACGGCACACTTCCATTCACCCACGTGTACACGATGGACATGCGTTTCAACGCATTGTAGTTGCGAATGCGGCACTGCCCGGGATATGTGTCCTGCGAGTTTGAAAGGGACCCGAACGCTGTGGCTTCGTCCATAAGCACGCCTTCTTCCCACATATCTGTCGCTGTCAGCATCGCCCACATGAGAAGGAAGCTTGTTATGTACCACCACAGCCTATGCCACCGTCGACGACGGAAGCATGTCTGGCCCCAACGTCGCATCCTGATGATGGTGTACTCTTCAAAAAAGTTGAAACGGTATTTCCGGATATACTACAAAATATCCGGTGTTTCCCAATCTCCTTGACGATGGTGGCTGGCGCGACTTCGGTCGGAGTCCTTCGTGGACATAAGGCACCTGTCAACTGCCTCAGTGTGTGCGCCAGTGCCCCAGACATCCTGGCATCTGGAAGCGACGACAGCACATGCCGCGTATGGGACCTGCGAAGTCGTCGCGTATCGCAGTGCATTGCACATGCTTTCGCTGGAGACCCTGTCAACTCGGTGGTGTTTGCCTCGTCGGTCGAGCTGTACGTGGCGTCGCGCAACCAAGTGTACATGTTCGATTTGCGGCACTCGTCGTCTTTGATTCTCACGGATGCCACGACGATCTTCGAGCCGGCTGCCGACGACATCAACTGCCTCCATGTCCACCCCATGTCGAACAAGAAGCCGTGGCTCGTCGTGCCCGACGACGAAGGCGACATCGGCCTGCTCAATATGCAAACCCACGCCATCCATACGTTGCGCGGCCAGCACTCAAGTATTTGCTCCGCGGCGGCATTTCGACCCCGCTGCGGCGGCTACGACTTGGTGTCAGGAGGGCTCGACAGCCAGCTCTTGTTTTGGGAAGTCCGCAGCGACGGCAGCGGCGGCCGCGTCCGCTCCAAGATCGACATGCAACACCTTGAAACCTTGGGCGACGCCACGCAGATCTGGAACCCCCCGTTCGTGTATGACGTGGCGTTCTCAGCGACAGGCAAGACCGTGGCCGCCGCACTGGGCGACGGGTCCATCGCCCTAGTCGACTTTGCCTCCAAATCCATCGCCCAACATCTGCGGGGAGGCCACCATGCCCCCGTAGGCGTCGTTCAGTTCTTTGACTTTCGCTCCACCGAGTACGTCATCTCGGCCGGCAACGACTCCAAGGTACTAATTGCTGTATGCACATACCCTAACGTCATAACGATTCGCAGGTTTGCATTTGGCCATCGTCCGACACAACAGAGCCATGCGTGACGATTCCCCTGCGTCACAAACCCAATGACGTGGCAGTCTCAGGAGACGCCATCTACGTGGCCGACGTTAGTCCGTTTGTGAGCATTTACGAATTGCATTAAGGAATAGTACAGTATTGTGCTAATTTTCGAGGAAGCATTATGGTCGTCCAACGGGCTCGATTCGGGACTGTTTTGTACCTGCTTACTACGTAGTAGTCGTCTGGTCATGTGCACTTACATTTGGAGTTTGTATTAAGAGTATTGATTGTAGTGTAGGTGGAAGATCAGTAAATTAGCAGCGATGGATCACCACGTCTGTAGCATGATTTGTAGCGTAGATGGAAACAAAACAGATCCAGTGCTGATGGATGGCCACGCCTCCAGCATGACTTGCTGTGTAGTTCGAAAAAGATGGAGAGGGTAGTGTCCTATACTGGCATAGGCATCACTACCTGGCGCCCTCCCACACAATTAGCTACTATCGTTAGTTAGCCCAAGCACTTGACAAGGATATTCGTACACCGCCTTGCTTCAATGCCATGCCAAACTTACATGGTGTGGTTTCATGCTGTGTTGCTATTTCCTCTATATTGTGGTGCTGTTTACTGTATGATAGCCATGTATGCACTGCGCTGGCATTAACTGTAAATTGGGTGGTTGGCGCCGTAGAGTCGTCCACAGATGCAAGAACTAAAGTAGGCATGTGGAGATAACTCCAAGGCCAAGTAACTACCGTAGCCATGAACAGAAACCATCATCCTCTTCCAGCAGACGCGTTTACAGTGCGCGGGAACGCCCTTTTGCTGGATCCAACGACCAAGTACGGGTGCTGATGCTCTTGAGCTAAACGCACTACGCTTTTGAGCTAACATACAGTAGTTCACTGTAGTTCTTACTTCCAACGAATACCACACGACTCCTTTGTGTTGATGTGTGTGTGTTGTGGCGTTGTGTGAATATAAGTTGATAGAATGTGGGCTCAAAAACAAGATATGCAAGATAGTGCACATTTGAACATAGTGGCGAAATCCGCATGAAAAGAAGTGGCCACAGCCACCATTCACGACATTACGACTGGTCATACGGAGCCTATCATGGGATGCTTGTCGACGTGCAACGCCTACATTGTTTTCAACATCCAGAGACCCCCCGCCATAATAATTCAACAGCATGTAGCATCCCCCTGGGAAGTTGTCTACATACCCCAGAGGGAGGCACACCCGGTCTAATACCTTTTGATCGCTAATATATACTTCGAAGTACTGTACATTTAACGTTACCGGTAGGCCTCTGGTTCAAATATGACGACAATCAAATGCATATACTATAACGTCATCCTTTCATGCCGCCACTAAATTCTGACAGATTCGAATTATGGTTAACTACACCATACACATGTAGCTACCGGTAGACAACACTACTGAGTGCTTATCTATACGTACTTGAGGAGAGGCCTACAACCGGGCCTCCCCTTGAGCGACTTACGGATGTGGTTCGGGCGTATATAAAAGTGTATCGGGTGCATAATAAGCTCAAGACTGACAGTCCCCACCTGCATCGGATCATACAACCGCGGTCTCACACACTGCATTCATGCCTCCTCGTGGTAACAGTGTTACTCCCGTAACAATTGACGTGACGATAGGTTTTGCATGTGTCTAGATGATGGGCTTGAGGGCGGCGACCAAGCGTTTCACGGACAACGCCACGTTGTCCACTATACCAGTGTATGTTATGGTATGCGAATTTCACTTGGCGGCGCCCGCCTCGCAATATAACGTCACTGCACTGATTTCGTTGCTAACACAACCATC